CCCCAAAACCCCAAAACCCCAAAACCCCTTAAAGATTCCTATAACTTGGAACTAAACTATAATGGAACCTAGAGCAAATATGGCTCCTCATGTAGGAGAGCCAACCGAGAGGATCTCTTTGCATATATCTTGTAAAAATCTGAAGGATTTGGATATAATTACTGCTTCAGACCCAATCTGATACTTTTATATTGAAGATGCATCATCTCCAGGCGAATGGGCCCTTTATGGAGAGACAGAGCAGATTGAGAATAACCTAAATCCCCAGTTTGTCACTTACTTTGAAATCAATTATTATTTCGAAAGACTTCAGAGAGTAAAATTTGAAATATTTGATGTGGATAGTAGCCGACTTGAAAGAATTGGCAACTTTGAAACGACTATCGGCAAAATAATGGGATCTGTGAAAAACTCCTTGACTGGAGAACTTACCATGCCTGGCAAGACTAAGTCTAGAGGGGTAATAACCATCTGTGCTGAGAAGGTCTCTTCTATAAATGATATTATATATTTCGGGCTTGATGTAACCAATCTGAAGTCTAATAAAGGTTTCCTGTGCGGTAGTGACAGCCCCTTCGTTTACATTGAAAGACAAAGAAGCGAAGATCACAATGAATTCCTTCGGATTATTCAAATAGAGCCAGTTATAGGCACTTTAAATCCAACCTGGCGAAATTTAAAGTTCGAAGTTAAAGAAATTTGTAATGGAGATCTTAAGTGTAAGTTAATCTTCAAAGTTTGCTCCTGGAGAAATAGTGGGCATCACAAATTTTATGGAAGCTTTGAGACATGACTTGAAGAGATATTACAAGGGCGACGGGAATTCAACATATGTGATACAAATAATAACCCGATAAATGATTCAAAGAAGCAAATGTCAATGTGCACTATTGAAGATTTCAAAATAGAGGAAAGAGCTTCGTTTTATGACTTTCTCCAATCAGAATGGAAGATCAATCTTAGCGTCTGTGTTGACTTTACGAAATCTAATGGGAGAATTACTAAGCCAACATCTCTACATTTCCTAGATCCTTCAGGGAAAAAGATGAATGATTATCAAAATGCTATCAGACAAGTGGGAAATATCCTTGAAGCTTATGACTATAATCAGAAGTACCCTTGCTATGGATTCGGAGGTATTCCCAATGATTCTGGATGGAAGAAAGCATCCCATTGTTTCAACTTGAATGGACAAGATCAGCCTGAAGCAGATGGGGTAAATGGAATTTTGGAGGCTTATCAATTTTCTCTGCTTAATTGTCAGCTCTTCCAACCAACAAAGTTCGGACCATGACTAAGGAAAACTATTGATTATGTAAAAGAACACATAGAAGAGAAAATGTATCATGTTCTTCTAATATTGACAGATGGGAATATTCATGACATGAAGCAAACAAAAAACTATATTGTAGAAGCTAGCCACTATCCAATAAGCATCATTATTGTAGGACTTGGAGAAAATAGTTTCGACCTCATGGTCGAGCTTGATGGAGATGATGTAGTTCTCAAAAATTCAAGAGGTCGTGCTACCAGAAGAGACATCGTCCAATTCGTAAAGTTCAATGATTTCAAGGGTCAAAGCTCTCAAGCATTGGCAGAGGAGGTGCTCGAAGAAGTCCCTGAGCAGGTGGTGTCATACTTGTATCAAAACAAGGTGAATTTAGAGGTTGATTAAATTATAACTTAAGAAGGATTTCAAACGAAGGATATTTGGATGGGGTTTTGGGGTTTTGGGGTTTTGGGGGTTTTGGGG